TCATGCAAAATAATAAATTCAGTATTTTACTGCCACTTTAAAACAAACTGTATATGAGCAATTGATCTCAAGGAAGCAGATCAATACATAGCTGATTGATATGCATTACTTCATGTGTTTTTTAATGTTGCCCCTTGTTCTTTCTCATTGTGATGTAAATTAAAAAACTCAATATTCTTCTCTGACATATTTTTGTAGACAGTTGATCTCAATGAGTATATTCAATATTTTTTGCATTTTTGACTTGTTATATTTTATGTGTTTTCAAATGTTGCCCATTATGCTTTGTCTCTATTATGTAAGATAATTCCAAAAGGATCAATTAAAAAGTTTTGATTGACTGTAAATAATGATTATTTTGATAATAAATAGAAACAGTGACAATAATGATGTGAAAACAGTGACTTTTCCTTCAAAAGGTCATTTTATACATGTAATAGAATGGCCTATATTTTGAAATATAAAGGTCAGAATGACCTAATTTTTGGATTTTGGATCTGGTTATCAAACAAAGTCCCTTCTTTGATATCCTGTACAATTTCGTCTAAATATCTTGGGGGCTAATATAGGGTCTTAAAGACATTCGTCCTTTAAATAGTAGTACCTATCTGGGTTGAAAAATGTAATGAAAACTGTTACAGCAGTTATGTAATAGGCTGCATCAAAATGGGGTTGTGGTTTAATTTACCATGTGGTAAGGAATTCCTGCCTTTAAGTCAATATATTAACTTCGAAGTATTTGGTTTCGGAGTATTGGGTTTGGGAGTAAAGGCGTGTCCCCAAGTTACACGTATTTCTAGATTTCGGAATGCTCCACCTCTATATCATAGTCTGAGCAAATGTGAACTAGCTTTGATCAGTCGTTATATCTACAGGGTGGGCCAAAAAAGCTACCTTTTTAAAGTTTGATGCAAAATCATAATTTGCATACCAAATGAAACTTGAAGTTGCAATCTAGTTATGCATTATGAATTGTATACTTATACTTGGATAAACAATGCCACCAGCGTCTCACTTTAACATGTGGTGTGCCATGAGAAATTAACATAATTTGCATAATCTACCAGAACTGATACGGCCTGCGCTGATTTGCTGAGAATAATTTAGCCGGGAGTTTAGAGCAGTAGGTGTGGAAGATTTATAACCCGAGCTGTCACGAGCATTGGTCGTAGGGACGGGGTTGCTTAACTGTAATACATGCATAGTCTTTACTCCTAATTCACTCGGCTCCCGTCGGCCAATGAACGCAGTGAAGACCGAGCGCGCAAAGATGAAAATACCTACACACCCCTAGTTTTTCTCATCATCGCACGCTCGGTCTTCACTGCGTTCATCATCTTCCTTCACTCGGCTCCCGTCGGTCGATGAACGCAGTGAAGACCGAGCGCGCAAAGATGGTCTTTACCAGGCAGAGGGTAGTTTATAACTAAACTCTAGTGTTCCAGCTAATAGTCTTGATACAAACCCCAGTGATTATAGTATATGGAAAGGTCTCCATAAGATGGTATATAAGCAACCAATCTCAAATATTGCTTAACTTAAACTGGCAATTAAGACAAGTTGAAGGAAACTTTGCCAACATTTCAATGTAATGCTATATATCAGCATTGCGACCAAGACTGGCCCTATATAACTGCAAAAGTTGGTTGTGTAGGTTGAAAAATAAAAAAGTCATGGTGTTTTTAAAGAAAGTGGCGTTTATTGACCCACCCTCATTTTACTATTTAGAGCGAGACTGTGTATCATTGACAGCATGTTATTTTAGTAGCAATTAAAGCACAACTTTGTAATTCAGATTTCAGAATGCAGTGTGTACCGTATCATCGCCTGTAATATTTGCCAACTACTCAAACGATGGCATTTGTCTGTGTGTGAAACACCAACGCCCTTTAAGATTTCTAAACTCATGGGTAACTGGTCAACTATATAAGCATATTAAATGTTCACTGATGTACAAAGGATTCAATGTCAAAGACATACATGTAACGCTTTTTCAATTTCTTAACGTGGTCGCCAAGAGAAAATTTTACAATTATTAGTTAAGTCTTGATATCAAAACACAAAAACAAAAAGTCTTGTCTCATTGTTTTATCTTTTATTAAAAACTTCAAAGTCATGCATGCAATTCTGAGTTTGTTAAAGCATTAATCTACAATAAAAACCTATTCAAATGTTTAAATTGTCCAATATTATCAATAATTGGTATACTTGTTCAATAGTTATACACATAGCCGTAGCCAGCGGGGGTTCGGTGGGTTCGAACGAACCCCCGGTCAGGATTTCCAAAAATATCATTTTGCGAAATATGCATATAACCAGAAACATTAAATCACTTTGCTATTTGAAAACTACATATATGAGCAGTAAATGAATAGATATAATTTTGTTATGGTGAACACGAGAGCCTCATTTCGCTAAAAACATGTCAAAGTGAAGTTACACTTCCCTCAAAACGTTTGGCAACCTTAGGCACGGGGTGAGATTTAATTTTGGGAAGACCCCAGAGCATGAGATTTTACATTTAGAAATAACAATAATTTCGCACAATTAACTTAAAAGCTGCTTCTTCTCGGACAAAATAACCCATCTTGGGCAATGGCTAAATCAGTCCTTTGTAGGAATTTTGTTTTAAGCCAATTCTGGTCCAATACGAAGTTATTGAAAAATTCAGACGTCCCATACTCCGATGATGAACATTGACGAATAAATATCTGGAATAGTCGTAATATTGATGAAACACATGTTCTTTCAAATGTGTACATCTTTGTTTTGTTTTATTTCAATAAAATTTAAAATATTTCTTGGGACGTCCCTGAGGCTGGCAAGTCCCCGCGTTAAATAATTCAAAACGCTGTGAAATGAATTATTTAAAAGCGTATATCGTATATTGTTCAATTTATTCATTCTTTCATTTGTTTAGTATTTATTTACCCATCACTTTTCCAAAGAAAAATCAATCATTGCAAAAAATGATTTTTTTCCAGATACACTCCACTCATCTAAGAGATTCTATAGAATTCAATTTTTTATCGTTCCAGTTTACTTGCTCTCCATTTTCATGTTAAAGAGAGAATCAGAGCAGTCTAAACAAAAAATTGTTTCAATTTTAGAATATTTCTGGCTCATGTCGTTCCTTTTCATGTCTATTTTCTAAAAATCACAAAAGTGCATACTTTATTCGAGGAAAACTAAAGATTTTTACAAAAATGTATTATTTTTCTATAAAAACGGTTATCATTCTTATTATTTGGGAGAATTTAAACATTTTTCACTCATTTTTGCACTTTGAATCAATAATAACTTTATTCAAAACGCTGTGAAATGAATTATTTGTGAATCTTTTGGGAGATATTGTATTTGATATTGTAAGGAATGGATTGGTAATTATACATGTTGCTTGTAATTTTGTTACCCCAGATTTAAGCAATACAACTATCCTGAATAGTTTAAAAAGCCTTCGTGTAAACGTTGTGAAAAGTTATCGTAGAAGAACGATCTTTCGGAGTATAGGGTGTTTGCGCCAATTTCAATAACCTTGCATTTGATCCGAACTGGCTTCCAACAAAATTCCTGAAAAATAGTCATAAGCCATTGCATGAGGTGATTTATTTTGTCCTAGTTGTTTGACTTTTTTTGCACGTTGCCTGTTTATTTTACTTTGTGAACATTAAAGTTACAAAGCTACAAGGTCATTTTTGAAAATCATTTTTACGTCCTTTGTTATTTCAATGGGAGAGGTTTCTTGATAAAGCCTATTACCTTCAGACTTTGCTTAACGTAAATAAAGACATCATTTTTGTTAAATAAAATTCAATTGTCTACTTAACTTAATGAAGGTATTAAAATGAATTATATTTCCCCTTCCAAAATAGTTTTTTCTTTACAAATAAGATTTCAAACTTAAAGGTGCTTATAATACATAAGCCAATGGGTTAATTAGGATTGCCAAACTTTTGGAGGGAGTGTAATTGTACAAATTGCATTTTTTAAGGAACCCTAATGAAGGGGGGGGGGGGATTTGTGAATAACATAAAAATAGAACCCCCGGTCATCAAATCCTGGCTACGCCACTGATACAGTCGACACGGAGCAATGGAGATTGGCCCCCATACTTCAATTTCGATATTCTGCCTTTTCTGGAGATGTAGCGATAAACCAAATTCAAATTGAAACAGCCACCACCTTTACTTCAGAATTTGAGTTGCGAATTTTGGTCTTATTTCCAAATTAAAAATTACTAACAAACACACACAAGAAGTGATCAAGATATTAGTACAGATCTTTTGGATCGCTGATTATGAAATAATAATCAGTTATAATATTAGAAAATAACGACATTTTCAATGTTTATATTGATCAAGTTCAAGGTTGAATGTCGTAATGGAAGCCTGGGAGCCAATCCTCCTTGGACAATGGGTAGTTAATAACAATTCACAGATGAAAACCTAGGATCCGAAATAGTCAAGGCAAAATTAAATTGACGATTCAAAGGTGGGGGGGGGGTTGTTTGTAGAATGAATCAGGGGCGTTTTTCATGCATTTCGCTTATGTCTTTCATCTAAAAACATCATTAATTCCTTAATCCCTTGAATTTTCTCTTTGAAGAATTTCCCATAGAAATCCAATAGTACAGTTCCGAGCAGATTTTGAGATAACAGGAAAGTAAATCTTTAATACACACCTTTTGGGGTTACGGTATAAAGCAAAACAACCCAATAAGGTGTGTATTAGGCTAAAGATAATCCTTGAAAATGAGAAATATTTTTGGGGATTATATGGTGCAATCTTATACTCAATAAAATGTTTCAAAGTGTATTGATGTTTTTGGATGAAAAACAGAAGCGAAATGCTTGAAAAACTCCCCTTATTCATTCTACAAACAACTCCCCCTCCTTTGAAGTCAATGAGAGCGGGTTTTGTCATATAAGACTTCATTTTGACGAGTAGGAGGGCCGATCCAGTGAGCACCGAAGCCTCGCATGTGGGTGCGGGTGGAGCCGCCGGGTGTGCAGATCTTGGTGGTAGTAGCAAATATTCAAACGTCTGTAAATAAAATCTTTATACTTTGCAGAGCCTCGTGTTTGTTTACCTCCGTTGAGCATAAATTGCTGGTTCTGGTTTCGGGTAAGCATTATTCGAGTCCGGTGTCAATTTAAAGTAACCTGTTGGCACCCAACCACACATATAAGTGTTCCACCCGGGAATGTCGTAACAGCCTGTCACCCACTTCTCTTCTTTGTTTTTGTTGCCTAATTTTAGCAGTAACAGTTTGCCCTCGTTAAATGTCAAATCGCCGTCTTGTTCTGCTTTCTCCATTGAATTTATAGCTTCGTAGTAATGCCACTCATCATCCTACAAAATACAGCAATGCACTCTGTATAATGCAATAATTTTGCAAATCATAAGCAGCATAAAGCCATTCTGAACGCTATAAAAATAGTAAATCAACCCTGATTCCTTCAAAACATATATAAAGTCCAGTCTGAATTCTTCAAACAATAATAATGCCACTTTGAACACTACATAAAACGTGGCACAAATATTTTTACATCTCCTAACGAAATACCATGTCCATGTAAATATTATGTTGTTTTTAGTCATCATTATGCATCTATTTCCTATCAAAATAGATAAACATTCAGGGGAATTTATTGTATTTTTGATCTGCTAGAAAAATGTTGATTTTGAATGATTGTGGATGCGATGAATCTAACGTCGATTTTGTTTAGGGAACCCCAAATTGCACAACAACTTTGTTGAGTGTTTAAAATGAGGAAATATTAATTCGTCAAAAAATCTCTAAAAAGATGTTTTTTGTAAACATTTTAAAATACATGGTCATCTATATTTTCTGAAAAATACATGCTTTTGTAGCCTTGCCCAAGTCGGTCTCTTTTACTTATCCTTGCCCAAGTCGGTCTCTTTTACTTATCTTGATTTCTATTATGACCCGCGGTAATATGGTGGTCATAGAAAAGAAAATAGATCGCTTTTCAAATCAGTTTTTTCACTTTTTTCTTTTTCTATGAATGATATCAAATGAGATTGTATCATTTAGAGCAATATATTGGGCACATTTTCTGAAAAATTCAAAAGATTCTGTTCAGTGACCTTTCCTAGCTCCTACTTTAAGTTATTTTTCAGTCACATTTTCAGAGGGCTAATAAGGTTATTTATTTCATCGTGTTTAGGGTCATTCTGACCGTGAACATTTTGATCCTGGACCTGTAAATGATATGTGGAACTAGTTGAATTGACTGGAGGTCAAAACAGAACTCTGTTATCTTTGTTCAAAAAATGTCTAAAATTGCAAATTTTTTTTGTCACTTCCTGTTTTGTCATTTCCTGTTTAGTATCATGGCACCTTAAGCGTAACAGTTGAAGGCACGGGATAAGGTACAACACGAGGATCATGCAATTTGAGCAAATTGATGTTTTCATCGTTTCAGATAGATCTGAGGCCTCATTATCATCTGGTCGCAACGCAAAATCGCATGCGAATCGCATCGCAAGACATCGCAACGCAACTATTTCCCAAATATGTTATTATCATTCCATCGCATCGCAAGTCTGACGCAAAGTTATCGATTTTCTGATCGCAACTAAACAAAAAGTTGCGACGACGTTTACGCTGTCGCAAATCAAATCGCAAATCTAGTTCATCTTTCAGCGTTATTTTATCTATGTTAATGGATATTTTGTGGTGTTTTATATCGCTCATTTCACTACCTGTTAAGTATTAATCAATAGTATCGAAGAAATTGTTCAATTTTATTTATTTAATATGATTAAAATATACATTTAATTGAGCCTGTAAATCCTTAAAAATCACGTTTGTTTCTAAATATTGCGAACGCATCACATACTGAAAACGTCTTAGATTGGTGCCTGCAATATTTCGTGCTCTTTGGAGCATAGGATTTTCGCCAATTAAATATTTATCTAGCTAATAAAGCTTGTTTGGTGAATTAATCTTGCCACTACTACACTAATGTTCTGAGTATTCCTAGTGTATATGTACCTCACCTACATCGTCTGCAAAAGTACAAGAACACCAAGATGTTTCATTTCATTCTGGATCACCACAATCGTATTGGCCGAAGAGTATTCAAATAAATAACTGTTAAATTTTCTTGCATGTGTATAAAATGTAAAATATACACCACCACCAAATAGAAAACTCATTAGCAGTTATCGTTTCATTGTCTGTTGAAAAATTATGTTGACGGATTTTAGATAGAAGCATTGTAGAACACATACAACAACGACCAAAAGTTCATTTTATTTCAGTTAGTTTCAGTAACATGACAGCTTCCCGTTTTAACAGTTATTTATTTTCAGTGATGTGTCTTGCACAAGTGTAATGCATGCGCAACCAATCAAATCATATCAATTATTGGATTTCTATCAATTTCAATCAATCAATGTCAAAAACTAGCGAACAGTTTAAATTTTAAGTGATACATCATTCAATTATCTATCAACTCTAAAGATTTGAAGACAAAATATATAATACATGTTGATATGTCCTTATTTCTGTGAAGGAGGTACGGGTACCCCGGGACCGACATTTACGTCACATATTCTGAAGCTATTTCAGCTTGTTTAACATGCAATGTAGTTGAATGCAGGCTGAACAAAACAAACCATTATGGTCATGGATTACCCCATTTTGTTATGCTATAGTTGATTTTGAATATTTTATCATCACTGTGTGGTATGCATGCCACATTCATTCCACAGGGCCCAATAAATATGTTCCATCAAGTGCCACGTGTACACAATTTCTCATCCTCTTAACTCACGATTGTGAGACAAGGCTGAATCCATTCTCTGACATGGTAGCAAGATACAGTTGCACGACATGTTTTATTTAATCAATGTCAATAAACCTGCGTCCTTTCTCTAAAGAAATAAGTTGTATAGAAATAAACAAGTCACATGTGAGCAGATCTGGACAATATAGTGCATTGTCCAAGAGTGCAATTTTGAGGTCCACGGATATTGTTTTCGGAACATTTTGAGATCTGTGGGCAGGCACGTTCTCCATATGGAGTAGGGCGTTCCCTTCTCTTACCACCCCTTTCTTCCACAATGCTTTCTCAAAAATATTGACCTGCAAACCCCTTCCATACAACACTATGACATCACAATACTTTCTGTTTATGTGTTACCAGTCAGCAAAAAATTTCAAACAACACAACACTTGTTGCATATAAAAAGTTCAAATCTAACCCAAATTTACCAAACTGGCTAAAAACTGAATATGTAACGTAAATGTCGGTCCCGGGGTACCTGTACCTCCTTCACGGAAATAAGGATATATCAACACGTATTATATATTTTGTCTTCAAATCTTCAGAATTGATAGATAATTGAATGATGTATCACTGGTAGGAAAATCAAAGGGATTGGTCTATAAAAAGTATCTGTGTAAAAAAGCGTCCATTACTTATTGATCACCCCTCGTATATAGTCATTGGATCAAAAGCGGCATGAAATCGGCGATCTCGACATTTTCCAATGCGTGACAGAGCTTAACACAGCGTAACTATGCACAACAGAGCTTGGCAATCGTATCAGAGCCTGATTTAAAGCATCATAATCGCATCAAAGCGTAATAATGCTTATCAAAGCGTGATTTCAAGCGTAACAAAGCCTGGCCAACGCGGGATCAAAGCGTGAGGAACCTATCAGAGCTATCCTACGCTTTGGGTCAAGCTTTTCTGAGCTTTGTTACGGTTTGTTAAGCTTTGATACGCTCTCGGCGCTTTAATTAATTCGTAACAGAGCGCCCAAAATTTTTAAACAGTTTAAAATTTTTTGGAGCTCTTGCCGAATATCCCCCTTGACTCCCAGCTTTTCTACGACCTATTACGACCCCGACGCTTTAATCAAGCTTTGTTACGCTTTGGTGTCGCTTTACAAGCCGCTTTAAAGCGCCATCAAAGCGCCGTTGGTATGAACAAAAATGACAAAAAAAGACGGCGCTTTGCTCGCCGATTTAAAGCGTGGCATTCGCCGTTGGTGTGAACGTAGCTTAAGCTTAAGCTTTGGTGGCGCTTTAAAGCGGCTTGTAAAGCGGCACCAAAGCGTAACAAAGCTTGATTAAAGTGTCGGGGTCGTAATAAGTCGTAGAAAAGCTCGGAGTAATAAGAATTCAAACATAAGGAGGCTTTAATACTCCGGTTGCCAAACTTTTGGAGGGAATGTAAATTGTATGTACAGGGTGGTCAAATAAAACAGCAACCCATCGCTATACTCCCTGATATTTGGTACATGTGTATATCATCATTCAATCTCCCACCAGACTACAATCATATTTCATGACCAGGTTGATAGTTTACAGCACTTTAAACAACATGCTTCAAAGTTCAATATTGTGCTTTTGGCAAACCTGCATCCGTCGTCCAAAATGTTCTTACCTGACTTCTACCTTTGGGATATGCCAAAGGTAGTGTACACAGAAAGGACCTCAGGAAAATTACAGACCTCCAAAAGGATATCATAATTTTCATTCAGGCCATACCTACTGAGGATTTCAGTTGGGTCATGGACAACCTGTGCAGGTTTACTTAAGCACGCTGATGGCCGAACCTGGGGCATGTTATTTGAAGTGCTGTAACATTGTGATCAATCATTAAATATCAGGGAGTAATTCTTTAAAATGACAAAGATATTAGGAAAATACGAGTGCCATTTTTGACCACCCTGTATGAAAAATACAGAAGTGGTTTCATGTGAGGAACCCCAATGAAGGGGAGATTTGTTGATAACATAAAACATAGAACCCCTGGTCACCGAATCCTGGCAACGCCACTGAATTTTGATAATAAAACACCTTTAAACCGAAAAATCGTTCAATCATAGTTGTATTTTTGTTTTATAATTGTTCGTCATTCAAACTAGAATTAGTACAATAATTGCCCTAACTATATTCTGGTTTACCAGAAATATACCCCCTTATACATGTCGTTTGCGAGGCAACATTTGGTGAGTTAAAGACAAATGTAAGGCCCATAGCCGGGGGAGGGGGGTCGGCCAAAAATTCTTGCAAGATTCTGTAGTTTTTTACCATTCTAAGCATTTTGTAAAGGTGAACCCCTCCCCCTGGAATTTTTTGAAAAGTGAACCCCCATTTGGCAAAAGTCGGCTGCGGGCCTGAAAGTGGGGAGGTTATCGCGATAGCTCTTGATGTTACGTTAAAACTAGGAAATGCTCTCGAAGAGCCTTTGGACTTGTTAAATTGTCCATCAACTTACTTGTCCCCTCTTTAAAGTCTCAAGCGCCTCCAAAATCTTCAGCGCCTTCTCTCTGAAAGTAAAAATAAATGTTTAGTTTTATCTCATCTTGGCATTCGCGGAGTACATGAAGACAATTGTTGTTTGATAAAATACACATAACCAATGTGTTAAAAGAGGAAAAGCAAAGGGTATTATAAAACCTAGGATTTCTTCATCCTAGATTAAAACATATCGTCTGCAAAATATGAAAGAGACTTGAGTTTCCAACTTATACTTGTCAAAACAACTGATTCATCGGACCCTATTCATTTGAATTTTACAAAGATTGGTGCAAATTCCCTCAAAATTAAGATAGAAATTTGAAATATAAAAAACATATTTATGCTCTTTTCTTCTGTCAAATGGTTCTATTTCTTATCAAATGTAGTTATGCTATGCACCCCATGGCTACGCCTATATATAGTTGTACACGTACCCAAAGCTATCAACAGGTGCAGAACATGCGAGGTTCACCAGACACACGAGTGCCAGTCCTCCGAGTGTAATCTTCATTTTAAGCATTTGTCGCTCTTCTCAGTCTTCAAGGGTTCGTCCAACTGCCTTCTCTCTGCCTCCTAAGCTGATCAATAGGTAAAAACCGGTTTCACATTATTTATACATATGATTGTCCTAGGAGGTCTCCACCGTCCACAGGGTTCGAAATTAGCAGTTGGTTTTTGTACAAACTGCATGAAACATGGCTAAGACAACTGAATATTTATTATTAAAATTATATCACTGTCATATTCCACTCTTGGTCTACGTGACATAAAAATAAGAAGACGACAAGACGTATTCATCGACCAAGCCTGTGAGGTCAGGAAAAGGTGTATTCAATGAGGCGTATTCAGCAGGAGTCCGATTCCGTCTCAGGATGTAAATTTCTGCAAATAATTTACGATATGGCAACTATACAGAAAAGGTTTAAAACCGATTCTGAATTATTCACTTGACTTATCATACCAGTGGAAGTCGTCTTCTTTGTTTACGTAGCAAACTAGAACGATTTAGATAATGTTCTTTCGAATGTGCGCGTATCGAGATTGCTCCATTGGATTCTCGGGAAAATGTAACAAACTGACCCTGATATGAGGGCATGAAGTGAAACGAATGGTTGTTTTCTTAAGTGCTTGGAGTTGTTTTGTATTTAAAATGTGAAGTCAAAATCATATTGAAGATTTCAAACTCGTTTAAAACGGGATTAAAATGAACCCATTGTTAAATTAGGAAACGCAACGAGCAAACCAGGACTTACTGCGTAATCACTGGTGATCCACTCGATTACGCTGGTTACCAAAACGATTCGTTTTGGTAACAAAATGTCGGAACATCCAGAAGGTACGATTTTTCTCGTTTCCTTACTTTACACGTTGTAGGCAGAATTCCCACGACATTTTTTATATCAGTACCATATGTTTAAGAAATTGTACATATTTGCGAACAAATAGTTCAGAAGACAACAGAATCGTCGATTTAATTCCTCACTTAAGTTACATAAACGGTTTGGGTTAAAAGTGCAGATCTTAACTGTTTTTCGAAAAACCGTTTATGTAACTTAAGTGAGGAAGTAAATCGACGATTCTGTTGTCCTCTGAGCTATTTTTTCGCAAACATGTACATTTTCTAAAACATATGATACTGATGCACGTTGTGAGAAAAAAAGTCGTGGGGATTCTGCCTACAACGCGTGAAATAAGGAAAAAAGAAAAATCGTGCCTTAGACGTTCCGACATTTTGTTACCAAAACGAACCACCAGCGTAATCGAGTGGATCACCAGTGAGGTAATCGGTACACGTTTAATGGTTGAACTACACTTGTGAAAATTGGTTTTTAAACGAATCGAATCTAGCAAATGAAATGCAAAACATTAAGAGCCCTTGGACATTTTGGTAGTATAAAGTTATAAACAAATTATTTTTTATGATACTCCGATGGTAAAATCAAAACCCTGGAGAAGATGCAAATATGTAGAGGTTATTTACTGGGGGTGATTGAATTTGAGGTTTATCATGTTTATTCCACGACACGTTGAAGTATGATATTTCCCGAGGATCTGAATGGACAGATATCATTGTCATCTGTTTATCCCATGATATTCATGACTGTTTTCATGAAAGCATGTCGATTCAAAATTAATATCTGATTTAAACTAGAAAAATAGCAACTCCACGGAGTACCAAATCCCACTGAACAAAATTTATTTCGATGACAAGTAGCCATATCTTGACTTTCTTCTCGAACAGAAATTCTTAGTTCATAGGTATCAACATAATTTGAACCAAATCCATCAACTGCTATTTCGTCAGATATCAACGATTGTGTTTTTCAGAAAAATTGCGGACATTTGGAAATTCAGCTGTCATCTTGAAAAGGAGTGGTATCGATATGGTGAACTTTTTAAACACGCGTTTCTCTTAAACCAGTCATCAAAACATTCTGAAACTTTTACTCATCGTCAATTTAATGGTCATCTTTTGGATGGTTTCATTATAATTTGATATATATATATACTTTTCGCCATATCCTTTTGTTGTTGGTACCATATGTTCGGAATGAAATGAAACGTCTATTCGAACCTCATTGGAACAAAACGACATAAACACAACGTGTTCAGGTCTCTCAATATTGTAATTGTACAAAGGAGAGTTTGGTTGATTTTAAAAAAGTATCTTGTTAAAGAGATCCAGTCGTCCAGATTTCTATTCTGGACAATCAGTAATGTCCCCATATAATTGCTCATAAAACTTCATATATACCTTAGATATTTCTCGAGACCAAATCATAAGCACAATATCATCAATATATTGAGGATATGAACAGGACAACCAACCGAACAACCAACTGTCAGAATTGAGGCAATAAGTCAAAAATAATATACAATGTTTTTTGGGGTTTTATCTATATTTTAACCCCTTATAAGTAATAAAAATATGGCTTCTCTGAGCCTAAACAATCTGTTGAAACTGAAGGAAAAAGCCAATAAGACTGGAACAAATTTGAGCAGGCTTTTTAAAGGACCTTATACACCCTCCGTTGGGATCTCCCCATGGGAAAAAAATAATTCATCTGATTTTTCAAAATGAGTATTCTGCTTCAATTATTACATTTATATGCACACTAGTATCTTGTTGACCTATATTCAGCACTGTATTGATGTATAGGCCACTTATTAGGGTCATAATTCAATCATGAAGTGTAGAGGCATAGATTCCAAACCAGGAAGTATTTTTGTGTCTGTCAAAATCCATTTACATCCTACGCATCCCTGCATCTTATCCAAATATGTTACTACATAATGAAATATAATAGTATAATCTTTGGTTTTACAAACTTGTATGATATTTGATAAGTGTAAAAGTTGCTTTTGGAGCATTTTTCTATAGCCATTTTGTAGGGAAAAAAATGATGAAAAAATGTACAATCTTTTAATTTTAAGTATGACCTGAATCGATTGCAAACTTCATATTTGCACATTTGATGAGATAAACCATTTGTGTCGTATTGTGAAATTATTAAGTTTGCAATCGATTCAGGTCATAGTGTATTTTTGGTATTTCTGTGATAATCAATGGAAACCAATGGCCTCTATTGGGATCTGCTGATATCCTCATGTTATAAGTCAATGGTGCACAGCCTATGTAAGTCAATACAACCTTACTGAACGAAATGATCACTATCTCAGCTTATGTGAGTCCGAGCACTTTAATATTTTCCAAAGTATTATATGACATTTTATTCTTCATGTTACACCTACGAATGATTCATTTTGACCATAGGGATATTTGCCAATAATTGCACCTTGTCCTTTTATGTTGAATTCTACTGATGAAAGTGGAAATTCATGGCTAGGAACAATCATCGAATTGATACTGTTAATGAATTTATTCAAGCGGCGAAGCCTCGGCGTTGGTAAGTTGATAAACAAACTTGTTTTACATCAAATAACCCATAAAAATTTGGGGGTTATTCAAATTGTGTTTTTAGGAGACCAGATCTCTTTAATGAAATGAAAGGTTTATCTTAATTTTTATCTATTTTGGGAGGTTTGTTTTAAGTTTTTGCATATTTTTTGTTAAATCAACCAAAATTTTCTTTGTATAACTATAATATTTAGAGGTCTAAGAAAATGTTGTATATGCTATTTTGTTCCAACAAAGTTCGGAAAGACATTTTATTTCATTCTCGAACCAATCTGTCGACCGGTATCTGAGTTATAGCTAAAAAACACGAACAGACAAATCTATTCACCAATATGACGAATTGATGGAATGGATGGATGGGCGGCTTCTCTAATCTCTTTATTACTACAAACTTCGTTTGATGGAATAATCATAGCACAGTGTCTAGCTACCTTTGTAGATGTTTTGACTTTATTGTTTCATATCAATTTATATTTGTAACTTAATGCTGAAAATTGGAGGAATTACATTGGGGGAACTCAGGCATATTTCATGTCATGGTGACATCAAGGCAGCGATGGGGTTGCAAGGAATATTCCTTTAATGGTTTCCCAATGAACACCAAGGACAGAATCAGACTGCATCTGCATTAAGATTCCTTTTTCAATAGAACATTCTAGTATTATGTTCTTTCCTTTTGGCGTTTTGTTATCCTCACTAATTTAATCCAACTATCTCCACAATACACAAAATAATGTGTTAACTTTTTTTGCTATTTTATTTATTTTTCTTGTTTTGTACAGGAGAGTTATTCTGAATTGTCCACATTAACTGTCTGTAGTCCTGCAAGTAAACAAGAAAAGATATTTTAGTAAACAAGCAAAATTGAATTGTTAGCTTCGTTAAACATTATACAGTGAAACCTATGAAGTGATACACCTCTGAAAATGGAAAACCTCTATTAGCGGAATACTTTTTGATGCCCCAGACCAACTGTAGAACACTTAATAGAGGAACCAAAGGTGTTCCACAGGTTTTATTGTGTTTGCAAAAGTTGGAGAGAGAGTTTGGCATATAAAGGAATATACTTTGGTAGCTAGTAACACTAAAATAATAACAATTCACGGTGAAGACAGGGCGAACCCCCTGGCCAAAAATTCTTTCAAAATTATGCAGTTTTTCACCATTCTGAGCACCACTCAAGTGATTTTAGCCATATTTGGGCCAAGATTGTCAAATGTGAACCCCCCCTGGACATTTTTGAAAACTTCCTGGTTATGGGCCTAAGTGAAGCACGATTAATTGACAAGTGAGTCCATTGTGGGACCCACAGCCTACACGGTCCATTGGACTGTAGAACATGTTTGGTCTTATGATAAATCAAGAGTCCCTTTCAAGCCTTATATAGTGGCAATATAAATCAGAATAGACAAGATCTGAAACTCTTTTGATTCAACTTGAGTTCAAATACTTTATATTACTTTGGCAATTTTATTGTTATGGGGCAAATACAATATTTACCATCTAATTTTTTTATAAGTTCATGTGTACACATACATGTAATTAGTATTCTGTTAGCCTTTTTACAGATTTTAATCTTGATAGATCGGCCTCAGTTGGTTGATCCCTGATCATATGTACAAAAGCACATCCAGTTTATATTTGATCCTCATTGGCCATTTTAATCTCAAAGATTTCAGTAGCAGCAAGCAATAGGTGATTTTCACCAGTTGTTTTTAGCAAAATCGCAACTTATTTGGAGAATTATTATTATTATTCAACTGTTTCAATGTTGAAATAATAATTTCCAATAATTTTGCCTGTTTTCTTATTCATTATGTCTGATGTTTTCATTCATTTTGCTTATTTTCATAAATTCTAATGAAACCCCGGATCTCAATCAGAATTCTAATTCCATTCTTTTATACATGTATACATGATGAGCCAGATAACTCATCTGACCACTTACCAATATATACTGCCATGAGTGTCAATGCATGTACGTCAAAAATCTCAACTGATAACGTGACAGGGGGTTTTGCATGGAACAAAATTTCTGAACCTGATATTACTAATACGTATACTAAGTCAGTTGAACACTGTTCTAATGATATTTTATTAAAACTTCAAGAAATTCTGTCTACAAGACCTTTGGGTGAGAAGGACATTGAACACTTCACTGATACTTTGGCAAAAACACTGATCAGCTGCTCGGAATACCATATTCCAAAACGTAAATTTAAACGGCATGTTAAGCCCTTTTGGAATGTGAATTTAACACTTTTAGCTAAAGATAAAAAAGCCAAATGGCACACATGGGTTTCTCATGGAAGGCCGCGCAATAATACAAATACTGTGAGAAGACAATACTTAGATGCTAAAAGGGTCTTTAACAAAGCCTTCCATGTAGCTCAAATTGAATATGAAAGGCAGGAAATGGAAAAGCTATATAAATCTGAGCAAGCTGACCAGCGCTTTTATTGGTATTTGGTTAATAAGCAACGGAAATCGAGAAAATCCCCTACTAGTCCAGTGCTATCAAATGATGGTGAGTTAATTACGGACCCAGTGGGTATTCTTGAACAATGGAAAGATCACTTTAAAAATCTTGCAACCCCGAATGAATCTCCAAATTTTTACAATCCCTTTAAACTAGAGGTGGAAAATAGAATAAAATATCTTATATCTAATATGCATATTGAGGATGAACAATTGAGTATTACCACAGATGACGTAATTGGTGCAGTTAAGGCACTGCATTGTAAGCGAGCCAGTGGTTATGATTCAATAACAGCTGAGCACTTAAAATATGGTGGTTATATCTTATATCATGGCATTGCTTTATTGTATGATTCTATTATCAAAACAGAGTATATTCCAAAGAATTTTAGTATAGGCATCATGATTTCAATTGTTAAAGCTGTGAAAGACCCCTTGGTAAAAGATAACTCACGGGGTATAACGCTAATGACTATGTTTAGAAAGCTGTTTGACAACATTGTTCTTAAATATGTAAAAACACCGATTTTAAGGTCAATTCCTCTCCTGCAAGGAGCATCAACTGATAAGTGCTCATCCGTTCACACTTCATTATTAGTACAAGAGACTATTGCTCATGGTGTTGAACACAACAAAATGGTTGTGGTTACAGTAGCGGACATTAGAAAAGCCTTCGATTCCGTGTTGATCGACGGGCTGCTAATTAAACTATATAATTGTGGGGTAGTTGGTAAGATCTGGAGAGTACTGTATCAGATGTACAAGAAATATATGTGCTCAGTAATGGTAGCTGGTACGTGTTCAGACCTGTTCCCTATTCTGCAGGGGGTCCATCAAGGTGGGGTGCTCTCCATGATTTTCTATCAGTTATATATGGCAGATCTCATTGTTGAAATGTCTAACCTTAATATTGGTGCTTCTATAGACCATATTAATTGTGTATGTCCAAGCTATGCAGATGATACATGTATAATCTCGAATTCTTTTGAAAATATGCAAACCCTGCTTAACACCTTCACTAGACATAGTTACAAATGGCGATATAGCATTCATCCTAAAAAATGTTCATACTTGGTATTTAATGAAAAAATAGAGCTGGGTGCTGCACAACGATTAAAAATTGGAGGTGTACAAATATCGAGATCAGAGTCCCTAACTCATCTAGGAATACCTCTTTCTACAAATAAATGTATCACTAATTATGTAGATGAACGTTGCAATAAAGGTTTGAGGCAGTATTACTGCCAACTAGCAATAGGTAATCGCTGTGGGGGGCTTACTCCAATATCAGCCTCAAACCTATATAAGACATTCTCTATTCCAAGTATGCTGTACGCAGCACCAATTATCAATTATCAGGATGGTGATATAGTTAAATTAGAAAATACTCAAAAAGATATTGGAAAACGTATACAATATATATCAAAAAATGCTAGTAATCCTCTGTCCTCCACAACATTAGGATGGCTAGATGTCGATCTGTACATTGATTTTTTAAGCCTGACATTTCTTTGGAGCTTACTGAAGCTACCGTTTACAAATGCTTATAAAGCGATCTGTGTTTATCGCATATTCTACCTGTGGAATGTAGAAAATCAATGTAACATATTTTCACCCATAAAAGCAATGCTTCAACGTGTAGAGACATATTAGTCCCCGATCTGATTTCCAAAAGGGCTCTAGAAATAGGGTTTTGTTGTCCGGTACTTTCCCACATAAAATGATTGTACCGTTTGAAAGAACAGACTTCCCTCTTAAAGAAAACACCTCTTCTATTGATGTAAACAGGGGCAAAAGGCACCAAAACGGGGTTAGACAAGGTGGCATTCTGAAGTCTCACTTTCTTGTCATCACGATTCCAGGTAAACCTGGACGGATTTACTTCAAATTTTCACACATGTTACATGGTAAGAAGTTCTAGAGCTGATTAACTTTGCGGCAGCCATCTTGCATTCTGGCGGCCATCTTGGAATTTTTTTAGATAAATATTGTCATCGCGATTCCACAAAAACCACATAACAGATGTACTTCAAATGTTCACACATATTACATGGTAAAAAGTCCTAGACCTCATTATTTTTTCGGTGGCCATCTTGCATTCTGGCAGCCATCTTGGAAGTTTAAAGATAAATCTTGTCATCACGATTTCAGGAAAACCAAACGGATTTACTTCAAATTTTCACACATATTACATGGTAAGAAGTTTTAGAGCTAATTAACCTTTCGGTGACCATCTTGCATTCTGGGGGCCATCTTGCATTCTGGGGGCCATCTTGGAAGTTTTTTGGATAAATCTTGTCATTGTGATTCCAGGAAAACCACTTTACTGATATAAACTGGGGCAAAAGGCAGTAAAGTGGGGTTACACTTGGTATTCTAAGGAGAATGTTATCTATTTTTCTGTATTTTAAACCACATAATTTGACATAAATGCATATTTGGTGTATGATATCATGTTTTGATCGCACTTTGAAAAAGTGCTATATTGTCGTCGTCTTGTGCTGTTTGGCGGGCGTTTGGCGGGCGTTTGGGCGTGCGGGCGGGACATAAACCAAATCTTGTCATCAAATTTCCAGGATAACTGCTTACCTGTTCAACTTGAAATTTTTACAGATGCAAGAGCAGACTAGTACCAAGATCTGATTAGGTTAAGGGCATGCTGGGTAAACTATGTGGCGGCCATTTTGAATTTTTCAACAAATCTTGTCATCAAAATTCCAGGAAAACCACTTAACTGTTCAATTTGAAATTTTTACAGATGCAAGAGCAGACTATTGCCAAGATCTGATTAGGTTTTGGGTATGCTGGCTAAATTACATGGTGGCCATTTTTAATTTTTTTAATTTAGCGGCCATTTTGAATTTTTCAACTTGCTCCAAATTGACCCAATTTTTTTTTTAAAAACATCTACAAGTTCTCAGAAGTTCAAATCTGACCTTAGATTTCAGATTTGACCTTTCATTCACCTTCAGTGACCTTGAAAAGGTCAAAAAAGTTGATTTTCTAAATTGATATTTTGGATTTAAATTTAGGTCAGCTTAATTACAAAACACCTACTGAGGTCTGAAAAAGTGAAATTTTCAAGGTCGAAAGTCAAGGTCATTAAACTAGGTCACAAATGATGTTATCCAAGTTTCTCAAAGTTTGAGACTTCAAATCAATTCTTGTCATCAAAATTCCAAGAAAACCGCTAACCTGTTCAACTTGAAATTTTTGCACATGCAAAAGCAGACTAGTGCCAAGATCTGATTAGGTTAAGGGCATGCTGGGTAAACTACGTGGTGGCCATTTTGAATTTTTCAACAAATCTTGTCATCAAAATTCCAGGAAAACCACTTAGCCGT